CTTCAAAATCATAAGAATTGCTCAAAAGATTGATAAGTAATTCAAAGTGATTAGACATGTTGAGAGAGTATTTGAGTCACTGTAGTTTGTGGGAGCTTATAAACTGTTAAACTTATAAGTTCTTTATAGCGTATAAACTAATACAATTTTAAAAAATCAGCTCCTGAAATATTTGAACAACATAAACTTATAAGTTGTATTAGTTTATTTAACTGTTTGGTAAATAAATAACTTATAAGTTGTCAGTTTTAGCAAAATAACATAAAAAGATAATAAGATTTCTTTTAATAAATACAACCACCAAAATGTAGTTCTTGTCATAAATTCAATTATCTATACTTTCTAGACAAATTATACAAAGTAAAAATCAAACATTAATCTTCAAATCAATTTTTATTATTTATTTTATATTAATACTTAAACTGTTCAATTTGAGAAATATTATTATTTGACAAAATAAAATTACAAAATTATTAGTTAATGTAGTCTACAAAGAGAAGTGAAAGATCAAACAAAAACAGATAAGAAAACATTCTGATTTGTAAGAAATATATGTCAGAATTTTATAAATTGTTTCAGTAATTCAGTCTTTTGTTAATTTGTTTGGCCAATGACATATTTTTAGAGAATTTATAAGTTGAGAGCTGACAGCTTTTAAGAACGCTTGTGTAAGAGCTTAAGTTGTTTGACTCATAAGCTCTTGGTTGTTTACCAAATGCTTAAAACACCGTTAGAGAGCATATACACTCTTATTGAGTTACAAATAAGTTTTAAGTCAGACACCCTCGATCTTGCTAGGTACTAAGGAACAAATTGGCATGTGTTTAAAATTCTAGAATAGCATCCTGTTGAGAAGTTAATTCAGTAAAAGATTATATAGCAGCACCAATTTAACAAGCCAGATTGAATGGTTGTACCTGGCTTCATATATTAATATTACCTGATGGTTTTGCAAGGGAAAGTAGCATGGGCTGTTGAGTTGGTACCGGTTGACAAGGACGATCCCTGTTTTTCACTAGCAAAACCCAAGCAACAGCAGAGCACAAAAGCAAAGCTACTGAGCCAGACAGAACAACAACAGCAATCATGCCACTGCTAAGATCATTGTTACGCCGTTTCTTCTGGACATCAACACCTAGGGGCTTTATTGTCCTTCCATTATTGTCATGCCCAGAATATGGCCCGCCATCTAATATGGTAATGTTTGAAGGGGCAGAAGGTGGAGATGGAGGTAGGCCTACAAGTTCAGAAAGCCATGAAACATTCTCTTACTAAATTTCAAAAGTAATAACAAATTAAGAGAGCAATTTAATACCTGGATAATGCACATAAAGTA